TTTTTCCTTTGGCCTTTTTGAGACAGAGTCTCCCTGTAGCCCCAGCTGTCCTGGAACTCGCTATGTAGACCAGGCTGGCCTTGAACTCACAGTGATCTGCCTGCCTCTGCCTCCCAAGTGCTGGGATTAAAGGCGTGCGCCACCTCCCCGGGCGATTGTTTTTATTTTATGTATACGAATATATTACCTGTATGTGTGTAAGTAAAAGCGTGTTGTGCAAAGCCTGTGGAAGGAGAGGGTATCGGATTCTCCGGAACCGTGGTAACCAGTGGTTGTGCACCTCCATGTGGGTGCTGGGACCGGAACCCGGGTCCTCTCCAAGGGCAGCCAGTGCTTTTAACGGCTGAGCTGTGTCACCAGCCCGGGTTATATATGTTGTCATGCACATTGTCTATCACACATACAATTATTTTCTAAGCCCCTTGCATCATATGTTAATATTAATGTCATAATGTGAGGTTGCATCCTACGTTAACATATTACAATAATACTCATTTTTGGCATTGCTGGGACGGAGTCCAGGACGGCCTGCTAAGGAAGCGCTGTACCCGGAGCCATACCCACAATGCTCTGCGCTCAACCAGGCATATGGGTTCTTGACTCAAACTATCCGGGCGCCATGATCATCCCCAGCTGAGCCCAGCCCCAGACTCCTCCTGATGGGCTGAGTCTGCAAACTGTTTGATTTTTTGTTAACCTTTTAAACACGTATGTGTGCAGTCCTGTCGTGCCATTGCCTGCAGAGGCCAGGAGAGGGCAGAAGATCCCACCTGAACCTGAATTGGGTGCTGGGATTCGAACCCGGGTCCTCTGCAAGAGCGGCCGGTGGTCTTAACCACTGAGAAAAATACGATTTTTTTTTTAATCCTGTGACGATTGCATGTGGAGTGTGTTAAGAATTGAGTACGAAATGCCCCCCAGTGACTTCCTGTGTTGATGTGAACCCCCATCAGCTGTCGCTGCTGAGTCCCATTGGGATATGATTTCTTTTTTTTTTCCTAAACAGCAAAGACGTTTCTTTATTTTGACTTTTCCTAGAAAAACTAATCCGAACACTGAGATTTCTTTTTTAATGCTGAACTTTGGGGTGACGAGTGTGTTTTCCTTGATGGAGATTTCAGGCCTCATTTTCCTAGAACTTAAAACCGTACATAACTCCACCGAGTTTCCGTCGATCTGTTTTCCATTTATGTTGTATTAAGTCACTCAACAGCCTTTTTCTATGTAGACAGCGTCTTCTGACAGTAGTTAATATATTGTTTTGATTTTTCTTCCTTAAAACTTTGGCAATGGTTTTTTTTTTTTCCTTCTTCCTAAGGGTAGAGATCTGGAACAGGTTTAAATTATGATCAATAACAGCAAATTCATGAATTTTGAAGGGTTGCTAAGCTTGGATAGAGGACATCCCTGACTGTTTTATTTATTGTCTATTTAGTTACTATTTTTTACATCTTTATTGTATGTGTACGAGGGCATCGCCCACATATGAGTGAGCGCACCCGCGTCGTGCAGTGTCTGGGGAGGTCAGACGAATGCATCGGATGCCCCGGAACTGGAGTTACGGACCGCTTGTTGCCGCCATGTAGGTGCTGGGATTCGAACCCGGGTCCTCTGCAAGAGCAGCCAGTGCTCCTAAGCACTGAGCCATCGCTCCAGCTCCTTTATTGATTTTTTTTTAATAACAAAGCGCAATTTCGATTTCTTGGGATCATGTGAAATAGTCTTTCTGTGTCTGTGCCTCT